ACAAATCCGCTGCTACGTCCAATTCGCCTGGCTGATGAAATATCAATGCCTTTTTTTAATTTTTAACTTTTCTAAAATATGCAATTGCAGCACAGGCCCAAGTATTTGAAGGAAAATAATAGAGTTGCCAAGTAAAAACTTGGCCTAGACGCTTTGAATACCAGTCATGTACATCGAGTACGACTAAGTAAGTTTACGAGGCTTTTAATGGAACACCACCTTTGTGAAAAGGTGTAAATAGGCATGAACCAAAAATACAAGATCAGGACTTCTTCTTAGTAGCCCGTTATAATCGCATTTAGGAAAAAAGTTGGGCGACTTTGACATTAGCCGTTTGTTTAAATTTTTTCTTTGTTTACAATTTGGTGGTGGCTTTTACTGCAATTTTCTTAATTTTCGCTTGTGACAACGTGTGCACACATTAGGTAAAGAATAATTCACCACAACGACATGATTTATAGAAGAATTTGCCTAATATAAATGATTATTCATGCGTTCAACAATTACGCCGTTTTTTTGTTCTCTTCTTTGTTTACTTCTTACAACAAAAATGGCGTCGATATTTCAACAGCTAGAAAATAACTTTTTCCTTTCTTTCGGGAATGCGTGATCTTGTGTCTTTCGTTCATGTAAATAAGTGCGTAAAGTGACTGTTTGACAGATCAACCAGGATTTTTTGAAACAATTTTTGTTGCGTAGTATTTTTTATAACATCCCTCCTCCTTGTCTCCTATCACTCTCGTCTTAAATGATATTCATTCATTTTATTTGCTTATTATTTTTTCATTTATTTCCAATATTTTGTCATATATTTTACTATAAAAATTTCGGCCCCTCGGCAACACCGAAGTTAACGAGGTCGTTTGCGCATCAAATTTGCCTCTTAATTTTAGAAGGGGCTCATAAATAGAACTCCATACAAATTTTTACAGTTCTTTTACGACGCTCGTAAATTTACGAGCTTTAAGGGGTTTACGTAGATATCTACGTTCTTTGATCACATGTTGCTGTATGAAATTTAAACTAATAAGGAAACTGCTTGTGGGTTTTTATTGATGAAATTCACAAACTAAACCCATTTAAATATATTATATATTGTTTTATCATGAGTTTGCTGCGAATAAACAACCATGTTATCAACTGTTCATGAAGCTAGCAAAATATGACTGGATTTGCGTTCGCGTACTTTTATGGAAATTTTTTCTACTGGAGAGTTGCTGGCAAGTTACTGGATAATTTGTAAACAAACACAACTAGATACAGAATTCAGCCCCAGCTGTTGAAAAGGATGTTCACAGTTGATAAAATTACCGAATACCAACTAACACTACCGAAATGGGTGTGAAGACTCTTACTATTTCTACATACTGTGGCGCAGAAAATGCAACGCTGTTTTTTTTCATTGGGTTGTCATAAACAGCTGACTGCAAGCAGTGTGCCACAAACAAAAATGAATAAACGTTTTACAATCAAGTGATCGTAAATTAAATTGTAACCCGACTGATTAAATTTTTTTCTTCTAAAAGAAGTAAGTAAAATGGAGGATGATGATGCTGGTGTTCACCGACTGGAAGGTTCCTCTGGCAACGTTCGTGGCGGATTGATTATTAAGAAACAAAAAGAGGAAGGCAGCGATAGCAAATTCATACTACCAAAGCCGTCTATACTGGGTTTGGATCGTTTAGCTGCTCAGCGACGTAAAGAACGAGAGGAGGCACAACGGTTAATATCCTTCAAAGATAATGAGAACGATGAAGATGATGAACGTAAGGGTGGTGTTTCCGCTACATCTATTGGCGATGAATTTGCTTTCAAAAAGCCCGATACCAGTAGCGTTCACAAAATGAATAGGCAACTGCGGGAACCTAAAGTAGAAACACCATCACATACGGGGGGTGTGTCAGAAGAGGCTCGGGAGCGTTTGCGTGAGCATGTTAAGCGGGATCGAGAGCGCACTACTAAAGGAGGAATGCGCTATTCCACTCGTGAGTACAGTAAAAATGATTCTAGAGATCGTTCATCTTCAAGCTCATCTAGTCGTGATCGCGATCGAGATCGAGAACGCCGACGCGATAGAGACCGGTATGCATACATACGTGATAGGGAAAGAGATAAGGATCGTGATAGGGACAGAAATAGAGACAGAGATCGCCATGATCGCAGTAAAAATGATTCTGAAAGAACTAATCGTGGTGATGCAACATCCGTTCGTAGCGGCGAGCGCACACCAAGATTTAAGGATGAGCCTCAAACACCGATGAACATATCTGTGAGTGGCAGTGCATGGGATGATGATGACACCGACCGACCTTCACAATCAAAGAAATCATCCTGGGACTTTCCTACACCCAAATCATATGCTAGTTCAGATCGGCCCGATTCGTCGACAAGAAGCAGCAATACTAGCGGTATTGGTACAAGTAGTTCACGTAGTCGTTCTCGTCACGAACGTGAAGATGATACACCGAGACCAACACCTGCCCATAACTATAATGCATGGGCCAACGACCGCAAACGATCTGGTGCGACACCCGCAACTGGACGAAGCAATCGCCAACCGTGGGGTGAAAGTGAAGAGGACCGTGATCTATGGGAAGAAGAGCAGCGCCGACTAGATCGTGAATGGTATAATATTGATGAAGGATATGATGACGAAAATAATCCTTTCACAGGGGCCAATGCGGAATATTTCAAGTAATTTAAAATTTATATTACTTTAATTTTAACTAATAAATATCTCCCTTACAGAAAACGAGAAGAAATAATTGAACAAAAGCGGACCAAACGTATTAGTGCACAACAACGGCAAATTAACAAAGATAACGAATTATGGGAGCGTAATCGTATGCTTACTTCCGGCGTTGTTATGTCCATCAACGTAAATGAAGATTTCGATGAGGAAGCATTGGAGCGCGTTCATCTGTTGGTGCACCACATTATACCACCATTCCTCGACGGGCGAATCGTGTTCACTAAACAACCCGAACCGGTTATACCCGTTAAAGATCCCACCTCAGATATGGCATTGATTGCGCGCAAAGGCAGCGCTCTGGTACGTGTGTATCGCGAGCAAAAAGAACGTCGAAAAGCGCAAAAGAAGCATTGGGAATTGAGTGGGACCAAATTGGGTAATATCATGGGTATTGAAAAGAAGATTGACGAAGAAGATGCCAAATTCGACAAGGATACCGATACAGCAGATTATCGAAAAGACCAGAAATTCGCTGAACATATGCGCGATCAAGATTCTGGTGGGATGAGTGATTTTGCACGCAAAAAGACCATTTTAGAGCAGCGTAGATTTTTGCCTGTATTCGCTGTGCGCCAAGAGCTGTTGAATGTAATCAGAGAGAACTCTGTAGTAATTATTGTTGGAGAAACAGGCAGCGGCAAAACAACGCAGTTGACTCAATATTTACATGAAGATGGTTACAGCAATTTTGGCATGATAGGTTGTACACAGCCTCGTCGTGTCGCAGCCATGTCTGTGGCGAAGCGTGTTTCCGATGAAATGGGTACTAAGTTGGGTAAGATAAAAATTGTGTTTATATATCCCTTTGTTGGTACTGAAATTGCTGCTTCTTTACAGGTGACGAAGTCGGTTATGCTATACGATTCGAAGATTGCACTTCCGAAAAGACTGTAATCAAATACATGACTGATGGTATTTTATTGCGTGAAAGTCTACGGGATCCCGATTTAGATGGCTATTCGGCCATTATAATGGATGAAGCGCATGAACGTTCATTATCTACTGATGTGCTTTTCGGATTATTACGTGAGGTGAGTGTTTTATACATTTTCACTTGCCTATAGTGTAGTGTGATTAGGCCCTTCAACATTTGATGTCAATTTATTTACAGCAATTAAGTTTTATATTCGAGCCATTATTAGACAACAATCTCTAATACTGAGATATTTCTTTGCCTACCGCCTCTGAAGTGCGTATTTTTTATGGCATTAAGNTATTCGAGCCATTATTAGACAACAATCTCTAATACTGAGATATTTCTTTGCCTACCGCCTCTGAAGTGCGTATTTTTTATGGCATTAAGCCTTAGGTGTTTATTGCCTTTAACAGGCCAATTCTGCGCATAAAAAAAATGTTTTAACCGGTAAATAAAATTTACACGAACATTTTGCACGTTTAACAATATAAATAATTAATTAAAAATAACATATTTATGGGATTTAATCATACAATTAATATGCTTGGCGATAATATGTTCATGCTTAANGCCTTAGGTGTTTATTGCCTTTAACAGGCCAATTCTGCGCATAAAAAAAAATGTTTTAACCGGTAAATAAAATTTACACGAACATTTTGCACGTTTAACAATATAAATAATTAATTAAAAATAACATATTTTATGGGATTTAATCATACAATTAATATGCTTGGCGATAATATGTTCATGCTTATGGTCAGCCAGCATAACCTAACAGATTACTAAACTCGCCATAAATGGCGTTGATATGCGTCGTTCCATCTTTTTTTTATGGATCGATAAAAGGTGGATGGTTGTTTCGCTGTAGTATATTTCTTTGAGCTGAAGTTATTCAGTTGTTCACTTTCATTGTGAATGTTGAGGTCGGTTTGAAAGAGGGTATGTCGACTTAATTGATTAATAGTCTAATAATATTAATAAATCATATTTAAAGGATCTTTTAAGATCTAAAATAAATTATGTTTTACCCAAACATGGTTCCTTAAATGATGTGAATTCCACAGCAGTGTAATATTTGGAATGTAGTAGTGCCCATTCTTACTTCATAAAGTCAAATACTGTTCTTGAATTCAAGGCCTGATCGTATTATCCAATTGTTTGTAATAAAAGTGCTCGTTGATAAGCCTTATCGTTTTGTGGAGAGTGCTTTTTGCTACTTATGGCTTTAAAATTCTTGATGGAAACACTGCATAACTATGCTTTACCCCGTTTTTAAGTAAAATGTCTACTAACAATGTGCAAAAAAATACCACAAATAGGAAAGCGTTGGGTACAATATTTATTCGTCTGCATGTTTTTAATACCAAACGAGTGGTTAGAGGTGCGTACTGTCCTTCGGTAGGATTCAGGTTCGATTGCTGGTACGTTTCACTTAAAAAGCCTTTGTTGTTGTTGTTGTGGCGGCTACTAAACCCCGCTCGGGTCGGCTTTTCTAAAAGCAGTCGCCCCTCGGCAGTCAATGGCAAATGGCCGAGTGAATTTCTGCCATGAAAAAGCGTCTCACAAAAACAATATGCCGTTCGGCGTTGCTTCTAAGCTGAAGGCTCTTCATTTGATTTCACAACCTCAGGACTTCGTCCGCCAGTTCGTAGGTATGACGCCTAACGTGCCTTGACGAGGGCTCTTCTGCGAGCAGTTGTCGGTTCGGGTGCCCTCGTCTGTGGCACCCTACAAGGAACTGCTTACAGAGCATTGTGTTATGCTCCTTAATGTGGAGCATATAGGCCTCGTGGTGCAGGTGGTGTTGGGGCGACATCAGGAGGCATCCAGTCAAAGTCCGAAGTGCCGTGTTCTGGCTAGTCTGCAGCTCGGCCACTGCGTTCTAGTCGTTCCCGGCGACCACACGGGCGCTGCATAATTTAGAACCGGCCGGACAATTGCCTTGTATGTTGTCAACAACGTTTCTTAGTCTCTGCCCCAAGTGCTGCCGTCCAGCGACTTGAGGACCATGTTGCTGCTCTGTACTTTGTTGACAATTGCGGTTGTATGCGTCGAGAAGGAGAGCAGGGTGTCGTCAGGTAACTCCGAGGATTTTGGGTTATTCACCGTCGTTGGTTAGTCCAGGTGGTGAATAAAGTTGCCGAGGATTTTGTGAGGGAGAGGGTTAGGCTCCTTGAAGTGAAGAAGCGAGAAAGCTCGGAAAGATATCCGTTAACTTTCGAGCATAACTCATCAATTCCATTCCCAGATGCCATTATCGAGCAGTCGTCAGCGTAAGAGACAATAGAGACTCATTCTGGTGGTTGAGGGAGCTTTAAAATATAGTAATTAAACAATACCGGGGATAGGACACCACCCTGTGGTGCCCCTGTTTAATTTTTCTCGGTTTGCTAGTTCGATCTCTAAAGATTACCGACGAATGTCGACTACTCAGATAATTCAAACGCCTTTGACAGGTCCAGCACTACTAGAACCTTTCTTTATGGCGTTAAGTCTTTTTGTTGTGTTCTGCACTTTACGGAACCCATGCTGATGCCTTGCTGGGGTCAGGTGGTTTGTGTAGTGCGGGAGTAGAAGGGCCTCTATTGTCTTCTCTACCGGGGAAAAAGGGTTATCGGATGATAAGACTCTCCTTTGTTGGACGGTTTCCCCGCTTTGAGCGGGGATGATTAAGTAATCCACTCCCGCAGGACCTAAAGTTTTCAGCATCAGCATGCAAATTCTGTCGGGTTCTATGGCATTGGAGGCTTTCGCGTTCCCGGTGGCTATCCTCACTTCGCCGCTGGTAAAAACAAGAGGCAGTTTGTGCAGCCTTCTAGTCACTTGACGTTTGGCTTTGTCCGCCGGAGGATGCAGTGTGAACTGTCGGCTAAAATAGCTCAAGCATCGGATCTCGACTCTGTGGTCACGCTCCGTTGTTGTTGGTCTTGTAGCAGGAGTGCTCAACCCCCCAGGTTCTGTCATATATCGTCGTCTTCATCCTCCGACTCTGTAAGCCTGAGGCCGAAAAAGCGGGCAGCGTCGATAGGCGCGGTCCAGAGCGCTTCTGGTGCCAGGGTCGTAGGGTTGGAGGTGCATGTGAAGAGGTGCTGGGTGTCATGGGTACCTTGCCCACATGCGGGGCAGGTGTTTGCCACTTGTGCATTTAGTCGGTAGAGGTAGCTGTTAAGTCGGTGACACCATCCCGAACGGAGTTGTACTAGGGTTCACCTGGTCTCTCTGGGCAGTTCAGATTCCTCTAAATTTATGGGTGGCGGTCGACCGCCTAAGACGATGTTGTCATTACGGGTACTGAGGCTCGTTCTGACCGCATCGCTGTGTAGGGTGTTGAGCGCCGCTCTGTATCTTGCTGCGTCGAATGGATGGTCTACGTACGGCTCAATGTCTGTCTTCCAGTCGTGCAGGTGGCGTCTCACATGTCGTGGGGCGGTTCGTTTCGAAGCAAGGCGTTGTTGGGGTGGTTCTCTCGGTGACAACCCACGAGGTATTGCTTCGACAGCATGGTGTTATGCTGGCTTTCTTCATGGAGGTGATGCTCGGACGACATGAGATGACAGCCTGTAGCCGTACGTAGAGCTGCGTTCTGGCAGATTTGGAGATTCCTCCACCGGGTGTCGCTTGTCCCCGCCGTCCACACTGGTGCCGCGTAGTTAGCCACTGACCGGCCAATTGCCTTGTAAGTCGCGAGCAGAGTGTCTTTGTCGGCTCCCCTGGTGCTGCCGGCTAGCGATTTGAGGACTTTGTTCCTGGCCCGGAGTTTGTTACATGTGGCTGTAGCATGCGCGGAGAAGGAGAAAAGACTATCGAACGTCACTCCTAGGATTTTAGGGTGATTAATCGTCGGTATTTTGGCGCCATCGACGAAGACGTCCAGTTTTAGCCCTATCTCCTTGGTCCAGGTTGTAAACAGTGTGGCTGTGGATTTTGCGGCGGAGATTTGGAGTCGTCTTGCAGTGAAGAAGTTGGAAAGATCGGTGAGATAGTCGGTTATTTGATCGCTAAGTCTGTCGATGTTTGGGCCAGTTGCCATTATAGTGCAGTCATCAGCGTAGCTTACCAAGTTAACTCCTGCTGGCGGCGGAGGGAGTTTTGCCATGTAGAGATTAAACAGTGTCGGGGAGAGTACGCCGCCTTGAGGGACCCCCTATTTAATTCTTCGAGGCTTGGACTTGGCGTTTCGGAATTTGACTGATGACTGACGATCACACGATAGCTGGTTATCCACCGTTTCGTCCGAGCTGGAAGCGAGGAGTCCAGGACGTCTTAGCAGAAGGTCGCGTAGTTCACCGTGTCGAATGCCTTTGACAGGTCCACTGCGACTAGGACCGTCCTATCATAGGGTCGACGTTGGTTCAGACCTGTGTGGTAATGGTGTTTAATGCTGTTGTCGTGCTGTGCATTTTTCGGAATCCATGTTGGTGTTCGGCTAGCTTCAGATGCTTCGTCAGGCAGGGAGGGAGGGAGATGGGTCTGTACGAGTATCCTGCGTTCGCCTTCTTCCCTCGCTTAAGGAGGGGGATGATCCTACCCATTTTCCACATCTCGGGGATGATCAGGGTGGACAGTGACAAGTTGAAAGCGGCGGTC